CCCCTGCCCATTAAAAAAAAAAAAAAAAAGTGAGCCAGGCGTGGTGGCACACACCTGCAATCCCAGCACTCAGGAGGCTGAGGCTCGAGGATCAAGGCTAGCCTGGGCTACAGAGCAAGACCTGTTTCATCAACAATTGTCAACTTAAAGGATATTTACTCTGGCTGTTTCCAAGACTGCTGTCCATCGACACTGGGTTGTTCCTTCTGGTCCCTGTCATGGTGGAGGTGGGGAGACAGACTATCACATACTTCCTCCAGCTCGGCCCATTTTCCAGTTGCCGTTGCCTACAGCGCCACCAGCTGGGAACAAGCCTTCAGCACACCGGCCTCTGGGGACAGGAACCGGTGAATTACACTTTACCGCCTCAGGGCTTTAATTTTGTTTGAAGGATGAACTTGAACACCTTTTCATTGAAAAGGGCCACATGCGCTTCATCTGCTGAAATATTTTTGACTCCTTTCACCCATTTTTCTGAATACAACCGCTTGGTAGACACTCTGGCTATCATTTCGTTCTTTCTTCTTTTTGGTACCAGGGATTGAACTCAGGACCTTGTGCCTTGCCAGACAGGCTGCAGAAACACTGAGTTCAGTCCCTGGCCTATTTATTGTTTCGGATAGCGAAGACATGACAGTCTTCAGCTGGTTTGGGGCTTGTCTTCTCACCCTCTCCAAGGTGTCTTTTGGGGGACTGAAGTCCCAACAGAAGTAATGTTATTACTCCTTCCCTTCACAAATTGTGCCTTTTATGCCCAAGCCTCCCTCCCAAGTCAGAAAATTATTCTCCTATATTCCCTCGTTTGTTTTGTCCCTAGCGTTTAGGTCTGATCCACCTAGAGCCGATTTCTGTGTATTATGCCTGTCAGGCGTCAGGTGTCTGAACCCGCCACGGGTACGCAGCTGTCCTAACTTGCTGTATCCTCTGCACGTGTGGCTCCAGTGAACCTTTCACCCAGCCAACTGAGCCCGCCAGTGAGGCACAGCTGTGCACCTCCTAGAGAATGGGGAACGCTGGACACGCCTGCCACCCAGGCACAAATGCTGGACGCAAACTTGCTTTCTCTGATTCCTACCACCATTAGTTCTTCTCTTTCTCCAAGTGCTTTTTCTGCAGCCTTGGTGCCTACAGAATAACCAGGTCTTACAGCTCTGAGCAGACCGTAAACCCCTGCTCTTCCTCACCCCTCCACTCGGTCCTCCTGATGCTAACAGCGGCTCTGCAATACGCCTGATGGATGGATGGGCGTCCCCAGGGTAGGCGGAGGCCCATGGCATAGAGTTCTTACCGTCTTCACAGTCCAAAGTTTAAAAAAAGGAAATGATTAGGAATTAGGAAAATAAACTCAGAGGGCAGTATTCACATTACTATCATACATATGAAGACAGAAAAAAAAGTGGAAATACTCATTTAGATTTTTATTTTAATAGCTTCAATCAAAAAAGATTTCATAAGGTTATTTACAATGCTGAATGTACAATTATGAATGTATGCCTTTTTGACAACAGGGTACCATTCTTGAGCAGCAATACAATTTTAAAAATATAAAGATGCAGAATCATTTCTGATAGAAAGTTACTTAAAAAAATCCAAGGCCTTAGGGAATTCACAAATCATAACAGAAAGTAACTACTAATTTCATGTGCACATAATTATCAAATTTTAATACATTAAAAATGTGTAAATGCCCATGACTGTACAAAAATCAACATCCTACTTTGTTAAAATTTCCCTGTCCCCTCCCACCATAAATATACAAAAACTTATTTTCAGATATGTAAAAATCACATGCATGAAATATCAGAATGTCTTGTAATGCTTGGGTTCTGCTCTTCCTCCAATGTGCTGCCATTGCGCGCGTTCTGGAACAGACCACATGAACTCTGATGCGTGGCCACCATGCCTCAGAAGCTCTGCAGTGCTTTCAAACTGCAACGGTTCTGTTTAAATGCAAGTGTGATTTGCAAAGCTTTTGAATTTAAGGATTACAAAACTACTATAAAAAGCGTTTCATTTTGTTGTCAGCTTAGCCACTTTTATTCAAGCATTACTTGCAGCATTGCTTACAGCAGTCGGTGCTAGAAGACAGAAAACATAGCTACCACTATATTTGAGGGAAAGGGAAAAACTTTAAACAACCCTGAGGGAGACATACATTAAAAATCTTGGTATTTATTTAAAAAGTTAAAAAGTTACATATCATTATTTAACAATCACTTTCCTGGACATTTCTGTCCTTTAGGTGCATAAATAAAATTTAAATCAGCAATATTTATCAATCTTAATACAGTAAAATAATATATGTACAGATTTTTAAATTTAGTTCTGTATATACTCAAATAATTTAAGGTAAAATTCAAAACCAAAATTACTATTATGCAACAGTGCCCCACAGAGAGGACTCGGTCTATCTATGGCACCGAGAGGACCAAACCTGGCTTCACGGACGTCCTTCAAACGACATTCTCAACGGGACGAACCCGCCCCGCCCACAACTGTGCTCCCACCTACCCGACTGCACTCCTCTACGGCAATACGGACACATGCGCGACAAAGCCCTGACACCCTGAATGCTAAAAGCCTGCATGTGTCAAACATAGTTCTTTATGATCATGCTCTAAGACGTTAAATACAATCTGATATTTGGATTTGTAAGCTGCTTCTTAGCAATCACTTTAATTATACGCTTCAATATTTAAACCAAAGAGTAAAATTTATAATTCTGGAAATCACTGAAGAATAGCACTTGTGCCTATTAAAATTAATATAGAAATTATAAAACCATCAAGAGAATAGGTAAGTATAGAAAACAGTGCTAATTCACAGCTCGAGAGGTCTAAGATGCATAGCTTCATAGGATCATTCGTGGAAAAACTGTTATCTAATGTGCATTAATGTCTGAAAACTCGGGTGGTGTTTTGTGAGAATCTTCAGTGGCGGCAGCAGGAAGGCCGACCCTGAGCGCCACACACAACTCCAGTCGGCCGACACCGCCTGTGCCCGCGTGTCTGGTGGCGACGGGTTAAATGGTAACTGTGCTGGGAAGATGACGACCTGCTGGAGTGGAATGCACAAGCACGAGTAGTTGAGGAAAACACAGAACAAAGTTATGCTTTTCATATTTAGGGCCATTTTACAGTAAGATTGACCACTGGGCCCTGCCGAACTGCTGGATCCTGTCTATAAGGGCAATTTAAAAGCTACTTCAGGTTCCTTTAGAATTTAAACATTAACCAGGTAGAACAGAGAAGTGGAAAAACTCTCTGTACTTCTTTTGCAAATGTCTTTTAACTTTATTTCCTCTGGATTTTTTCTTCCAGAAACTCGCCACAGCCCTGTGCTCCTTTGCGACAAAGCAGGCCTGCCTGGGTCTCTGGCACCACCTGACAGCACAGAACAAACTCGCCAGCTCACGCTGCTTCAGAAAAGAGCAAGTCGCTCAAGTCCGGCGCTCTACAGCGAAAGCCTCACTGTGGACAGGAGACTCGTGTATCAAACCTTCAAGATTCTTTTCAAGGTAGAATTCTAAATCAAAATTCATTCTTATCCTATTGTCTTTAGGTAATCAAAATCAGAGAAGGTAAAAAAATATTTAAAGTACTAAGCCTGAAGAAAACAGGAATAGAGATATTAAAAAGGTAGTTCTACCTCTACCACCAAAAGAAGTCATCTTCTGTTCTTATGAGGAAGGTGCTACAGCCTGAAACTGAAGCGCACCAGACTCCGCCCCCACACACGAGACCCACTGAGCAGT